CCAGGATTCAAAAACCGGTATTTGACTAAACAAAAATTAAACTAAAATAACCGCTTCATTCCCCAAAGTTTGGACTTCCGTTTTCTCTATATACCTTTGCAAATATGCGCATGCTGCAAAATGACAAATGGATTTGGATAACTTGAAGAGGGAGAAACAGAATGTAGCCTATTAGTAGATTAGGCAATTGAGACAGAAATATGCATATATCAGTGACACATCCAAATAAATGACCTCCTCTATCTCCACAGTTTGTACTTCCATGGGATAAGCTGATGCTTCCACACATCCTGTAGACTTGCGGCACCACTCCTCGGTAGTGACGCCTAAATCCATTGTGCTGGTGCTATCCATGCCGACTTCCTGGCACACCGAAGGTGGCACATTGGCGGCATTGATAAGCTGTCTCTTCGAAAGTGGAGGAAGGATGGTCTGAAAAATCGTTGATCGGTTAGTTAATAGCTTGATTGCAGACAACATATTTGGGATTCTAAGACGGATCCCAGTCAATCACGTAAGTCTCATTTCATAAATCTTCACTTTCGAGTAGACGGGTTGGCTCAGAGGACGATATGTAATGCTGGAACTTAGGATCCTACAAACGAGGTAAGGTTTTTGGGGCAATCAGTTATTTGAAAGGTTACTTTGGTATATAAAGTGACCTACACCTGTGTTGATTGTCCCTTCGCTTTAAGTGAAGAGAGATTTATTATGTGAGATGGAGAATATGCGACTTACAAAGGTGGAAAGTACATTTTGGTACGATTTTCTCAACTTATTTTACCCTTTCAGCTGTTTTTTTTTATTAAAACAGGAGAAACAATACTCTGTGGAATTATTCACTAATTTCTAACCCTCTGAGTCTGTCTGAGAGGCATGGAGGCTATCATAGGAACTACAGACTGCGGTGACTAATGTGCCCGCGTAATTTACCACATCTCCATATTCCTTTTATTACATTTTTTTAAAAAAGGAGAAATACTTGCAAGTTGGTCAGATGTCGTCTTAGTCTTTTATATTATCTGTGGCAGCTAAATGGTCTCTGACAAAAACTTCATGTGGGAAGGAGGTAGGAAGGAACCGGACGTCACCCGTACCACCAGCGCATATTTTTTGGGTGCTATTATGCACCAAACGGATGGGAAAATTTATTATTATAGACTAATGGATTTTTGACAGCACATTTTTCTAGTTTATTAAAAACCAAAACTTCTAGCCGACTGTATTTTTATTCATTAAGTAAATCTACCCACAAATCCCACTTTAGAGTTGCTTCACCCACTTCCACCTTTCATAAGCTCAGCGATAGAACTGCTTTGTGTAGAGAAGGAATGACAACTAACTATAAACATGACATGTGCAGTCGTGAGGTTTGCTTGCTTTGGGAAGAGCTGTTCCTAAAGTAACATTTTATGGCTATTTTCCTCATGATACTGTGGATTTTAGCAATAAACCCATGCCAGATATGTTAGACAAGTCTGAACTATGTGGTAAACCCTCCTATATCGATGATCTGAAAGTTTCCCTCCTTCCTGCCTTCTGATTGGTCAGCATTAAGCCAGCCAATAATCACTTCAAGGTCAAGGCCGATCAAATGCTCCAAAAATCTGATACTGCAGCCGCCCTGTAACCAACCAGTCCCTAAATGAGCGCACGCCGTACCTCCTGCTTGGTCAAATGCGTCGGCAAGTAAAGATGCCTTTGCTAAAGTCATTGTTTGGGGATGTAAACTTAACCTCAGGTACACCACTTCATAGCTCATTCAACTGTTGGGAAATTCAGATGTTTTATTAGAAGTATAAAGTCATGTGATTCAACAAATAAGTGCACTACCTCAATTTACCACCCAGTGGCACTGATGAGACACATGGGTGTCTAAGGCACCAATCAGGGCCCCGGAACTACGGAGACTAAAGGGTGCAAAAGAGGTCAGACTTAAGCTTACCAAGTGATCATTTAATAAAATTTTGTCCACCTGGCTGACAAAGCAGTTGATGTACTAATCAGTCTGTCGTTCTATTTAAATTTTAAAAGAAAAATCTGCGTGACCAATGAAACTTGGGGAACAAGCAAGACGTTATTAGTTTAAAAGTGCTAGTATTATAATCCATTAAACATTTCGAGCGACCTTTCAAGCTGTCGCATTAAAGAGTTAGTCACTTTAACAATTTAATTTTGCATTACTTTTAGTGGAGCTAACAAATATTTCCTCCCTTCTTAGAGCGCTAAAAAATGTGGTCATGAAGTCGTAAGAAATTAAGTTTCCCCTCAAAAATGGCTTTGAAGAATTTTAACGTCAAGTTAATTTCAACATAATTCCTCTGCGAGGCTTTACAAATGGGCTTTTAAAGGACATGGAGGAAAACCAATGTCAGATTTGCTCTGCTACACTTACGTCTCCCTGTCATTTTCTGTAGGAGTAAAAAGTATTTGGATTTAAATGGTGCAAACAGGTTTTGAATTACCTCTCATTTGCAGCCTAGA